ACCACAACTTGGCTGATTTTACCATAAATCACTATATGTATTCCCTTTTGTGCAATAATTCCCCTGGCTTCTGGAACTTATTGGAAATAAGTCTGGTGTACAAAAACTAAACTTAGGGGTCATCCAGGCATTCAAATAGTTATTTTTCACTTTGTATGTTTTATGTATTTTCTATTTTTAATGTAATATGTCACATTGAATGCAAAATAAATCAAATCAAATCACAATACTAAACCAAGGAAAAAAACCCAGAATTTTCTATGCTAGGTTTCACTTTCTTTGACTTTTTATACAGATATATGTATTTATAATAATTTTGTCTCCTTTTTAAGTTCTTAATTTGTTTCTGCTAGTTATTAATGTGAAGATAATTTAATATTTATCCTAAGAGTTTCTTTTTTTATTTAAAAAAATCAGTACAAGGATTTTTAAGTCAACTATAGTGAAATTAATATAGTATTTGTACAGTAATTTCCTTCTGGAAAATTTTGTAAATGTAAATATAATAACGATTTATCATAGATACATACTATATCATTCTACACTTCTGAAAAATAATTTTAATTCTTTCTAATTCATCCTTGTTCCTTTTCAATTTATATTCATTTATCTATAAATCTATTGCTTAATAGAAAAATAAATACTATAATTGTAATTTTTATAGGTTTGTTGACCACAATACACTAGCTAGCTATATGTAGGCCTAGATTTGGCTATATTCTATAATTGACACATTTTAATCTTTATATATTATTATCTTCATTTTATTTCAATCAATGAATGGCTCGGTCAAAGCAAAAAATCAAGTTGTTCATACCCAGTACCGTTCGGTACTGTCAAACAACGAATATTAATTAAAAATTAATGTTTGACCGATTGATGCAATGTCGATCAGGAAAAAAAAACCTTTCAATCGGAAGGTAGAGGGTTCGAGATGGATGCTCGTCACACTGCTTGTGTCCTTGGGAACGACACCTTATTTGGCTCTCTTCACCCAGGATTAAAAATGGGTAGGTGGGAGGAGGTGAATGATTCGGAATAAAATAAGTAGTGCTGATTACACGCGTAACTAGGAATTCTCCCCAGGAAGCGGGGGAGGTTGCACATTGTGTATGACTGATTCTGTATCCAGTGACCAGGTTAAAAAGTGCCTTGCACAGTTTTCTGGATATGTTTCGCTATACAAATCCTATTAAACCAAAAAAATATAAATAATTAATCTTGGCAGTAGAATTCACATGTACAGTAGTCCACCTGCATTCATCTTGATGACCTAGTATCTGTATTGATCACCTCACAACTAACACCTCATTCCTCTTATAATGACAAAGAAATCTTGTGTACGGTGTGATAGGCTTCTACGTGCTTGAAACATGACCAGGCAGTATTGCCAAGATACTTACAGATTAAACCCCATAAGCCAACAAGAAAAGCCAATGGAATATCATAAACTACTTTAAACATCACATCAAAACCAAACAGCTTAAATATCTTAACTTTTAAATAACTACACACAGATGTAATTTGCCAACAAAAAAAACCCATTAAAAATGTATATGGAATTAAAATGTTCATATTACTTTAATTGGGATCTACGATGATATCGGTGAAACACTAAAAAAGAATTCTGTAAAAGGCACAAGCCAGCAAGCGGCTATACATGGCCATGGCGTGTAACTCCTTCAATTGCTCATTTTAAGTTGTAACCTTCCAATGAGAAACACAAATTATATATATATATACATATATATACACATATATATACACATATATATACAAATGCATATATATGTAAATGCATAATATTTCGAGCACTCCTGTGCTCTTCCTCAGTGATAACATGTATACATACTTATATAAAATATATAAAAAAAAGTTTGCTGCCTAGCACTATATACACAACAAAAAGCAAGAACGACTGTTCACCGGCCCGCGAGTTCCTCCACGCTTAAATACGGTACAGGCGAAAAGAAGTTATGTTGGGTTTTTTTGGAAGAGCTAATAAGATAGAAATTTTTAAATAATTAAATGTTTATTTGTACAAAAAAAAATATTATTTAGAATGTTCATTTGTACAAAATTAAAATTTCTTAAAAATGGAAAAAACAAAATTGAATACCAAGATGCGATTCGAAATCATGGCCTTAAGTTATTTAGAACACATCCTTAACGGACCACGATATCCATGCAACATGCCCTATTAGTGGTAATGGCAGTAATGTACAGTCCTTGCTGAAACCCCTGTTTTGTTTTGTAGGTGTAGGGGTTACCCTGGGGTCAAACTTAAAAAAGGGGCCATGAATGTCTGTTATAAATAGCCTCTAGTTTATGTGTACAAAATTTCCTGCACGTCCGTTCAAAACAGATGACACTAGACGCTATTAAAATTTTGGTAACAGAAAAAAAGAACAAAAACAGTAGTATGGCTCTGGGGTCAACACCTTGCAAGGACCCAAAAATTAATAGATAAATAATAACTTGAATTAGAAAAATGTTGTAAAAATCATATCAAGTATACAGTAGCTCATCAACAAAAATTTCCTTTACAGTATATATAAGTTGAGTAGCTAAACATGGGCAGCATTCTTTTTAATATGAGAAATAATGACTTCATACAGAAACAAAAAAAACAAGAGTTTATACAGAAGCAAAATAAAAATAGATGTTTCATTTAACACTCAATACTGTTACAATGAAAATAACAGTTGAGAAAACATTTCATTTCAATAAATGAATTATATCCAATTTACAAAACAGTTTTGAAAACTGGAAAATTAACAGGTAAAGAGTGGAATGCCAGAAGCAAAACACTACATCAACATCACCACTTACAAAAAAAAAAAAAGGTAAAACAAAATTTGGGTCAGAAAATAGTAATTGAAGCAGATGGTAAAATACTGAAAGATGGTGAAAGGGTCTACTTTGATTTAAATTAGGCCACATAAAAATAAAAAAACATATATTTCTCTTCCGGCCTTTTTTTTTAATCAAAAAAGAAAAAGAGGATTCCCTTTTTTTCTTCAGGAAACCAAACATATAGCCATATGTCATGCAGTGGCATATTAAAAGCGGGGACGTTTGAATGGGTATAGCGCACCCTTCAGAAATAGTTTGCACACCATCCAACGACTTCAAACGTTCTGAGCCAAAAATTACAGTAGTTAAATATAACCTCATATACATCTCTTTTACTTTTGATGTTGGAGGAAATAAATATATTATTATCACTAATTCAACTACCGCTTTTCAGGTTGTTCAGCTTAAAAAAGTCAGTTCTATTGAAACTATTGCCAGGGAATTTAAGGTTTGTACACAAAAAAATTCAGAAAAGTATTATTTATGTATCTGTTGATTTTATTCTTCAAGTTTATATACACAACACATACACACACATGGAACAACAGTAAGGGTTAAATGGGGCCAACCTTGCATAGGGTGATGTGGAGGAAGGGGAGGTGAGGGAGAGAGGGGCAACACTGTCACAGAGCATCCGTAGGGTGTCTAGTTTTTTGCATGTCCATGGGGAATGCTTACATTTAAAATCCAACGCCCGGGGTAATGATAACGTGAGGGGCAGAGAGGGTTTAACAATCTCTATATAAGTCTATTATTATTATTATTATTAAATATATTCACATAAAAACCATGATTTAATCACTATATTTATTGGAGAGTTTTGGCTTGATGCCAGTACTGTATGAATTTTTGAATATATGTACTAAACTTATGATACATAATAAATAAACAAAGTTATTAGCCCAACAGGACAGTGAATCTACTTTCTAGCCCAAGTGTCAGGAAAGTTCTGTCTACCAAAAACAACTTCACTCACTAGGCCCTCATAAAGGGACTACATTTATAGAATGTAAGTAGCCCCTAATGGTATATATATTATGATGGTCTGATGATCAAGAGACAATACCCTACTATTTTTCCCTGATAAGTTTAACGGGTTGTTTAACATACATACACAAGCCTTAGTATCTACTTGTTGGGTGTTGTAAACTTATTGGATTGGGAATTAGAGCCAAATATTTATACACAAGCAATTACAGGTCACCGAAAGGTGGATTGTGTAAGAGCTGCTGCTCATAGGCTATTGTGTCTGACAGTGTAAGCTTGAGTCAGATATATCTGATCAGGCAACAAAAATGTTAATGTTAATATAACAAAGTTTGATCAAATCTTGTCTGACAAGGCAAATATCTGATAGTGCATGCAAATTAATTGGATGGGGTTCAAAGGTCACATGGAAAAGTGGAATTAGTGGTATTCCCTACCCAAACATATACTTCAGTTCAAGGAAGGGTTTATGGGTGTTCCTAAGGATATGTTACTGTGGTGACATTCCTACCACTATGCCAAGAGCCATAGTTTTGCTATAGTGCAGCACTAAGTGTACTAAGCCTGCCTATATATGGGCTTGATGATGTCATATAATGCCCATATAAGTACGGGTCTCCCTCCTAATTAATGACCACCTTTGGGACCAGTATTTCCATGGTCTTTACCTGTTCTACTCTCTAATTAGAATACAGATAAAAGACATTTGTAATGTTTGGACCATAGGATGGTCTTCAATTGGAGGTGGTCTTCAATTGCATGGACGGAGGTTTAGGAGGATGGTGCTGCTGAAAGTCTTTTTGGACGAGACACAGAATTTGTAGTACGACGAATGTATGACCGTTGGCTGACGAATTGAACTTTGCTCCCTGTGATTGCTGGACGACATGCCGCAGCCTGATGATTGTCGGTGGCGGTCTTATCAGATCGTCATTAAAAACAATCTGTTGCACACATTGTGGCGTTGTCTTCTCCATAAAATCGCATCAACCGACAACCATCGCACACAGTGTCACTAATTATCAGAATGGATTGTCATTAAGAACGATTCGTTGCACGCGTCGTAGTGTTACATTTTTTGTAAAGAATCGTGTTGGCCTGACGGCCATGGGGCGCGGTGATTTTCTGGCTTAGGAGACAATCATAGATTTACTAACCTGTATATAAGTGTCCAAATCACCTGAGGTAACAGATCCTTCTGTAGTGAAAGTAACCGTAGTAACGGACTGGTCTATATGGTGGTCTTCAAATGAAGAAATTCCTCTCTTTTGAAGTGTACTCCAGTCACTTGAAAGAGAAAATATTTAAATTAATGAGAGGTTAAAATACAACATACATACATATGCCCTGTCTCTTATACACATCTAGATGTGTATAAGAGACAGCATGTATACATACTTATATTATGAATATTTCATGAATATTCATTAGGTAATATAGTTTGCCGGTCCTAATGGTATCATCAGTGATTGACATTGGTACACTGTCACTCACATGCCCTCGTGAAGGTGAACTATTATTGTTTATGTTTTTCAGTCTTATGATGGCGTTACAATAATATTATCACTACTATAATACATCCTTTGGGGTTGCTATCCTTGTACCTGTTATCATTATCCACCCTGTTGTTATCATCGTCACCATAATAATCATCATTATCCTCTGTTCTAAAGAAGATGTCTGAGTTCTTAGGATTTTTTTTTAAACCTCAGTGCATAGTATACAAGTATTGACTGCTCATGAGGGGAATGGTGAAATCTATTGCCCGGAGGTGATGTGGGGACCGAAGAATATCTACGGCCTGAAGGAAGTTAGGCTACGGTCTCCACATCAGAGGTGTCTATAGATTTCACTGTTACCCAAATCAGCAGTCAATATTTTGTTTTATATACCTCATACATAGATTCTACAAGGCCTAAAAAAATACTTACTTCCTAGCCTAGCCTAGAGGCCTAGACACTGTCACACTAGTCTAGGCAATCAAGTAGTGCCTAGCTCTTCTTTGCTCATTTTCTCAATTTCAACAGTACCCATTGTCTTACAAAATTTGTCGAATATTAACAAGACATATTTAATTTGTCTTAGTGCTTTTGCTATCAGCTTCATCAAGAAGTAATGCTAGGCCTGGTAGGCTAGTCCTTCATCCAGGAGCTCGAACAGACGATGTCTAGACTTCATATTCGTTTACCGTCTACTCGCTGATCCATGGCGCGGTCAAGGGCCAATCTCTACACATACAGCTCTACATACTGATCAGATTCAAGAAGTGTAGATGGTGACAAAGTTAGAATTCGGAGAGACCAGATGGACAAAAAAACTCCTGAGTTGATAAAAGTGGAGGGGAAAGTATGCAGAAAAGATTCAGGTGGTCAACAGGGAGAAGAAAGTGGTAGAAAATCTTATTGGTGGGATATTCAGCATTGGACTGACGTGACCTGAAGAAAAAGATGAAATAGTAAATCTTGGTCTCACCTCTTTCGGCCCATTGTGTCAAATGCATGTAGATCAAGAAGATCGTCTAAGTTGACCCTGAGGAAATAAAAAAAAATTCTTGGCTAAAAATTTCCTCTAATTTATGTAAGTAGGTTTCAAATAAGAAAGGATAAAAAAAATGAGGGCTATTAATCACGCAAAAATCATGATGCAGAAAGAAACTTTAAAAATGTTAAAATGATAAATGCTCATTGCATGAAAGAATCTTAACCATCGGGTATGGTTTCACATACTGTGCATGAAGGAATTGAAATACTACAGTGTTTTCTATAATCTTACTTTGATTTGTGTGTTTCAACCAGCCCAGCAAAACTGTTAATGGTTCTGAAAAGAATACAAAAATAATTATTAATAGTACTATTATTATCATTGCTATCATTAACTTCACCATAATCACCATCATCATCATCATCATCATCAATATCAGTATAATTATCATGATTATAATTATTATTATTATTATGATCACCATCATCAGGATTAACATTACTATCATTTTTTAACCTATCATTATAGTTCATTATTCATTTTTCTGTTGCAGATATATTTTGTGGAAATTTTATTTTTTACTTTTCAAATGTTATTACTTACACAATATACTTTTTAAAAATATAATACACTTGATAGAGAAATTCCTACCGTATATGTTTTGTTAAACTCGCAATCTCCTCGGGTGACACCAAGTCAATTTTATTGACAAGCATCAGATCAGCCATTGCTACTTGCCTGTTATAAAACAAAAACAATTACATATTAAAACATTGCTGGAAAAAATAATTGATGAATGAAATAATGCGATCCTATTTTTCTATAATAAAATATTTTGACAAAATTTCATCAGTTTCCACATTTACTATTAAAGGCAGTGGACAACTATTAGGCAAGTCAAGTGGCTGACCAGTAAGGCAGGGGCGTTGCTAGCTACAGCCTTAACATCGGCGCTGGTTCCAGCCGCTCCTCGACTTTGTATTTCACTGATTTTGTTTTTATCTTCGTCCATAATTTATGGGAGTCTAATGGTGGAGCGGTTAGAAGGGGCGCCGCAAGCTATAGCCATAATATCCGCGCTGGTTCGAACGGCACGCTTGGTTATGGTTCTGGTGGTGGAACAAGTCTTTTCGGAAGGACTATAAACCGTAGGCCCAGTGCCGAGACGAGTAGGGGAATACCCCGGTGTACTGGAACAGACAGACCTTGTGGTGGACGACGAGAGTTGCTGGTACCGGGTAGCACAGACACGAAGGGGACCCTTAGGGGCGAAGAAAGTCATTGATCGAGTTCCTAGCCCACATATCAAGCACGCTGAGCATCTTACATTAGATGGATATGTGCACTAAATAAAACTACACTATTATTATTATTATTATTATTAATAAATAAATGGTAGAGCTTTTAATGGCAGTTTCACTGATATTTTACAATCTATTTTATGCATTCTACAAAATAGTTTGAATAAGAGATTAACCAACATATTGTAAGATGTCATAAGATGGCTTCGCTTGTATGGACAATAGAAGAATATGAAGAATAGAATGTTAATGTACGATTTTGTGGCTTCTGCAGGGAATAAAAGATATTCTCTATGTGTGATTGGATGTTTCCTGCATTAATTCCGCCACATTAGAACGACATTCAAAGTTGGATTTGGTGGCTTCTTGTTTAAAGGTGAAGGAGGCTCAAGTGATATTGAACTTTTCCTTAAACACACTGATTTCCATGCCTCTTTCTTTCTTTTATTGTTCTTTAAGCTGGGGGCAGTGCCGTAGAAAAGTATTTTTCATTGGGGGGGGGGGGGGATGATTGGCATGTTAGCCAGTGTCGTAACAGGCGCAGAGGAGGGACTGCCCCTCCCCTGACTGTTTTTACCGGGCTGACCAAGCCGTCGTACCGGGCTGGGTAATAAGAGAAAAGGAAGAGGGGAGAGGGAGGGCAAGATCAAGAAGAGGAAAAGAAAAACAAAGAAAAAGAAAAAGAGAAGAGAAAAATAAAGACAAGAATAAAAAGGAAGATATCATAATGACCAGACTCACAACACCCGGCAACCCCTTCTCCATTTCAAAAACTGTCATAACTCCTTTGATCTATGATGCCCGATGGCATAACCACTGGGGGACAAGGGGAAAATATCTACCTTTGAAAAATCTTCCCCACCCCTTTATAAATGCCCTTTTCATCCCCTGAAAGTGCCTAAAAACCTCAAATTTTGCGCGCTTCACGTGCATTTTTGTTAACATGGGCCTATTTTCTCTAAAAATTGCACATTTTAGAGAGTTTTGATCAATTCCAGCGAAATTAGAATTAAAAACACAGGGGGACAAGGGGAAAATATCCATCTTTGAAAAATCTTTCCCCACCCCTTGACAAATGCATCCTCTGAAAGTGCCAATCTCCTCTATAAATTGCACATTTTAGGGAGTTTTCATCAATTTCGACGACATTTCGTGTTTCGCGCGCATTTTGTAGGGCTTTTTTAGGTTTATTCTTTTAAGTTATTTAAACACATAATAGTCCCAAACTCAAGAAAGACAAATTTAAGATAGGTCGTTTTAGCCGAAAAGAAGGGCCTCAATGTGTATAGATGGTGAAAGAATATGTTTGTAATAAATAAAACCATGATGAAAATGCTTATAATTTAGTTTCAAACAAAAAATAAGAAGAAACAAGATAAGCCCTATGTCGTATTGTTTTCTATGTGGGGTGGGATGGGTATGGTAAATTACTGACCGGAAAAATAAATACCCATTCTGAGCCAAGACCCCTGTTACGCACCTGGTGTTAGCGCCAATGTGTGCCCTTGTGCGGACAGGGGATGTGCCCCCTCTGAAGCTGGAAACCTTGTTTTTGCAAAATAAATTGATGAAATTTGCTATTATAGGCTTAATCAATAAATTCCTCATCAACCGATATAACCTTAAACATTTTTTGAATTGACATAACATTACTGATGTCGTACACACCCTTCAGTGTGAAATGTGGCTCTCTTTGCAAGCACATCTAACATCTAAGGAAAGAAGAGCTTAGATTGGTACCAGATAAAATAAT